ACAAAAACTAGGGGGAGGGTGGTAATGGGAGGGAAGTGGGGAGGGTTGGGTGGGTGGGGTGGAATGGGAGTAAAAGGGAGATAACTGTACTTGAACAATGATTAAAATAAAATAAAATAAAAAAAGTTAAAGAAGTTCTTAATTACCAAGCCCTTACTATATTAACAGTTAAAGGGACTTATCAAAGAAATAGAAGAAGATAAAAAACTCTGAACTGTAAATTGACAACAAACTCACAACTATCAACAACTGAACCTAATCATCTGGTCAAAACAAAACAAAACAAAACAAATCAAAACAAAAACTAAGCAAACAACTGGAGCAGGAACAGAATCACAGAAATGGAGATCACATGGAGGGTTATCAATGAAGAGGGGGAGGGGGAGAATGGGTGGAAAAGTTACAGGGGATAAGAAGTATAATAGGTAGACATAAAATAGACAGGGGGAGTTAAGAATAGTACAGGAAACAGAGAAGCCAAAGAACTTACGTATACAGCCCATGGACATGAACTAATGGGGGGTAATGCTGGAGGGTGGGGGGTACAGGGAAGAGGGGGATAAAGGGGATAAAATAATTGGGACAACTGTAATGGCCTAAGTAATAAAATATACTTAAAAATTTTGTAATGTTGACTACAGAAGCAGGTTATTAACTTATTCAAAAACTCTTTTTGAGTGATTGTTGTATGTCAGGTATTGTTCAGCACTAGATACACTCTGATGAATACAAAAGCCAGTCAAAGTCCTTGATTCCATGGAATTATCAAATTAATATGATAGATGTATAATAAACAGAAAAATGAATAAATGATGACTTCATATAGTAAAAACTACTATGAGAACCATAAATTATGCTGTGAAATGTAAAGTTGGTTGGGCAGAGGAGTTCAAATCATACAGGAGAGATATTGAAAAAAGTAATCAGTGTGTTCAGGGATACACACTGAATGTCAGGAGTATATCCTAAAGAATTTTGGGAGAGGTAATATCATTGAAATTGATGTGAGGGCCTCACCAATGAAATAATATTTAAAGTGAGAACTGAATGATAAGAAGTTGACAGGCAAGTAAGGCAGATAGAACAGCTGGTGCAAGGTCATAAGATTAATAACAACATCATCTGGTACAAGAATGCCAATTAAAGGATAGCCAGCCTGTCTTCCTGTACTTTCCTCTTGCTGCCTATTTCATGAATACAAAAAGAGTCAATATCCATCCCCACTGAGTGGTTGAGTGATAAGAGAGGACTGAGTGGTGGGTAGGGAAAAGAACATGTATAGTTTTGTCAACCAGTGTAAGAAATCTGAGCTTCATCTTAACCTCAATAGAAAGCAAGTGGTGGCTTAAAAAAAAGAAGTGAAATGAAAAGAAGAAAATAAAAAATATGCAAAATAAATTTTAAAACTTGTCTCTGGCTGACAGAGAAAAAAATATATTATGGAAGAGAAGGAGTGAACCTAGATGACCACTAGCAAATGTTGGTTCATCCAGGCAAGAGGTATTTTCTTTTTTTTCTGGATGAAGATGATAATGAAAATAGAAAGAGTAAAAGGATTAAGTATATATTTGAAGAGAGAGCCAACAGAACTTGCTGTTCCATTGGAGTAAAGGGGAAAAGAAGTGAAAGAAATGAAGATTCCCTCCTATCTATTGAGCTTAAGTAATGGTAGTGACATTAACTGAAATGAGAAATACAGTAGGCAGGAAATATTTAGGTACAGGGATTGAGCAGGTGGAATAAAACATCCTGCTTTTTGACGGTTATGTTGGGGGAGGTAGGGGTGGAGGACTGAGCACACAGGAAAAAGGACTCATGGACATGGACAACAGTGTGGTGATGATGGGGGACTGGGAGTATAAGGGACTAAATAATAATGAAAAAATACAACAAAGACTAAATGAAAGACAAAAGCCATCCTACTTTGGAATAAATTTGAGTGGCCCATTAATATTCAAGTGGAGATGTCAGGTAGCTAATGGAAAATATGAGTTTGGAGTTAATGGCAAAGAACAGCTATGGCATTTGCTGTCAGTATATAGAAGTCATTTAGGCCATGGACCTTAGGAAGGGAGTATAGTTAAGGAAGAGGAAAGAGTGTGATATGGAGCCCTAAGAAAATCTAAAATATAGAGGTTGAGCACAGGAGGTGCAACTCTGTACGAATAAGATCAACAATCAATGAGGTAGAATAAAGAGAACAATCAGTGAGATAGAGGGATCATCACAAGGCAAAAAGAAAAAAAAATTGAGAAGGAAAGAGAAGTCAACCTGTTGAAAGCTGCTGAAAGGTCAAGAATAATGAAGACAATCAGGTTTGTTATATTTTATTTTCTTACTGATTCTGAAGAATGGTGGAGCCTAAAACTTAAATGGATAGTTAAGAATTGTGTGAGACACAAAAGTGTGGATACAGTGAGTGATTAATGACCATACTTTGGAAACATGGCTGTGGTGCAGAAAAAAAGAAGGGCTTAGGTAGTAGCTAGGGAGAGAATCCTGGTAGAGGATGAATGTTGTTTATTCAGGTATTTTTAATGATGTGAGACACTTGAGGCCATATGAAGAAACAGGGAGAAGTTGATGGTGTTGATGAAGAAGGCATAATTGAAGATCTGAAGACTTTGACAAGATGAGTGTGATTAGAATCTATGGCTGGAGAATAAGAACTGGCCTAAGATAAGGACTAAGGCCACTGATGTTTGAGCCAAGAAGAGAGCCTGTGCACAGGCCACAAGTTGGTAGATGTGTTGAAATGAAGATGAGGAGTTGTTTGTGTTCTAATTTCTCAGTGAGGTAAGATACAAGATCCTGATTTTGAGAATGGGTAGTAGGAATCAGGTTTTGAGAGTGGGAGGAGAACACATCATATGTAAGACATAATTTTAAAGATAGAACAAGCACACATATTGGAGGAGTACAGTAGAACTTCAGGGCAGTGTGGAATGCTCATTAGAGATTGTGTCCATGAATTAAAAAATAGACTAGCAATATGCTGCATGTTCTTTTCTTGCCTTATTAGCCTAGTACAGGCAAAGAGTAGTTAGGTAGTTGATTTCAACGATCCTTGTGTGTGTGTCAATTAAGAGTGACAAAGAGGAGGCAAGGGAGTTTAGTACAATTAAAATAAAATTATTATAATGTTGGATCTTATTATGTAATCTGGCTAGGAAAAGTTTAAAGATATGAGGAGAGAAGAAGAGTAAGAAAAATCAGTAGTGGAAATATTGGGTGTCTCCATGAAGATGAAAATTATTGGAAGAGGATCATTAAAGTTTATGAGCCATAGGATAAGTAGCAAAGAAAGAGAATGGAATAAAGAAATTTAGGTTTCAAGGTGTACAGTTACTGATGGTTGGTAGTATATGCATAACTAGAGAGTCTGGATGGAAGGAAAGGTGCTTAGAAATTAGGAATTCAACAAATTGAGAGGCCAGGATTGTTGCCTTAGTTGCATTTAAGTATGTTGTAGTAACTACTAATGGTCCCAGGAGTAAGAAGACATAGAGGAAGAAACTCATGAGTCTGGTGCTGCAGTTTTTAGTGGACAAGGAAGGTGGGGGAGCATTGAGCAGAAAGTTGGATGATGACAGCAACAGACAGAAGTAGTTAGGTGGTATTGCCTCCTGGTGTTAGTTTCAATGTAATGTGATGTTGAGAAGGAACACAGAAGAGGAATTGTTGAAAATGGCAACCAAGAGCAAGCAGCATACCTAATCCAAGTCTCAGTGCAGAGAAAAGTGTGTTGAAAGAGAAGCACACCGTCTCTAATTGATAGGAAAATCAATGTTTTCCAGGAAGAGTCAGGTTTGAGCTGAACATAGAAGTGAAGGGAGAATTGGGGGAATAAGAGAATTTGCAGATGATGGGCTCCACATTCCAAAAAACTCTGGAGAAGATTTTGGGAGATTGGAATCAGGGAGCACAGAGTACACAATAATAAAGAAGACAGGCCCAGAAGATGAAGTTTCAACCAAAAAGACCAATATACTGAGGACCTCTTAGAAGAGACAAATTCAAGCAGAAAATATGGACAATGAGGCCACTGACCTTCTAGCAGTTCTCCATGATGTGGCAGCCAAGAGGTAAATAACAAAACAAACAAACAAACAAACAAAAACTTTCTTGATAGGATTATTTCATGGGTCCTACCTAAGAGAGGTCTTTGGTTTGCTTGTCTTTCCAGGTTCTTCCTTTGTGAATCCTGTATCACTCTCCTCCACCCTGTTTCTGCTCTGGCCATGATAAAATGTTCTCAGTACCTCAGATATTCCATGTCCTTTCCCATCTCAGTATTTACAATGATGAAAATAATCTGTCCACTTTCTTTCTTTGAGAAACTTATACTCATCCTGTAGGTGTCCATCCAAATATGATTCCTTCTTTTGCTCCTAGTACACACATCCAAGCACTTTCTCATTTTTCATGACACTTGAAACTTCTGCCTCATGAGACAGCACTGGATTGTAAGCTCTATGAGATCCATGACTATAATTTTTCTTTTTTCTGTCCTCTTAAGTATAAATTTGTACCTACAGGCACTCAATTACTATCAACCAATAGACTAACTTGAGAAGTAGTCTAAGTGGTATGGATGCATTTCAGAGTAAAATATCATGAGTTTAAGGGGTGAAGCAATCAGGATTGATTCTCTGCTCTGCCCCTTACCTTAAGGTGCCGGGCATATCTATTAATTACCCCTGATTAGTTAGCAATTCCTAAGAAAGGTTATCAGAGTATTAATGGTGCCCCCACATGTTTTTGCCAATCTCTTTGACATTTTCCACATAAATTGCTTTGATATTTTCCACATATTTTCCACATAAATATGAGCACAGGTTTTCTCATTTTTTTCTTTGAAACCAGATTGCAACGTGTGGATTAAATCATCTTCATCTTCTACACTCATCTTAAAATCATCCCTTAGGTTTGAAAATGTCAATATCACTAACAGCATCCTACCTGTGTGGGACGGACACATAGAAACAGACAGTAAATACCTGCACATGTGATGTAAGCTTCCTCCTTTGGACTGCATGAACTGTATTTCCAAGGGTCAGAAGGGCACTGCCAGAGAGACATATCAGTGTTCCGACACTGGATTCCATCCACCCACCGGGGTCTAGAACCTTCCCTATAATAAACAGAAGCATCAAGGGTCCCACTGTCCCCACAGCCAAGGTGTCTGCAGATTGTGGACAAGGTCATGGCTTCCATGGGGCTGCGGCAGACACTGCCCCAGGTCCCATTGTAGAAGACTTCCAGCCACCCGGCGCACTCCTGGTCCTTGCTCACCATCCTCAGGGCCAGGAACTCTAAAAGTGAAAGGTGGAAACATGGCACAGTGAGTAGTCCACTCAAAGCTCTGCCTTCTTTCTCCCAGAGGATGTGAACACTCATCAGTGACTCTGCTGAGGAGACTGCCACTAAGTGGCAAGACTGAAATTTGTGTCCCTTTTCCTTCACTTTGTCCTTTTGTGTCTGTCTATACCACAAAGATGTAGTGGAACATGAACAGAAAGGAACACCAGCCTGGGCCCTCTGCAGGGAAAGCCGAATCCTGCTCACTGACGAAACTTCTGTCAGAGTATGTGGAAGGGAGTGTGTATAGTGTGTAGTAGGTGTAACAATGGACCTACAAAGATTTCTACATCCTGCCCCATGGAACTTGTGAAATTTTACCTTTTATGGGAAATGGACTCTGTGGTTACTATTAAGATAAGAACCTTGAGATGATGAGATTGACCTGAGATATACCACGTTACACAGGTGAGTTCAGTCTAATCACATTCTTAGATCCATTGTCCTGAAAAACAAATAAACTTTCTCTACTTCAGTTCAGAGAGAAATGTGGCTAAAGAAGAACGGTCAGAGAGAGGCAACATTATTTGAAGAAAAAAAAGGGAACATGGAGTCTGGGAATGAATGCACTCCAGCTTTGTAAGGTAGAAAAGACAGGGAGAGGAAGTCTTCCCTGGAGCCTCCAGAAGGAATGCAGCCCTGTGGACACCTTGGTGTCAGCCCAGTGAGACCCTTGCTAGACTTTTAATGTAGAGAATTGTAAAATAATAAATTTGTGTTGTTTTAAATCATATGGTAGTTCATTATGGCTTCAATAAATGAAGTAAAAATCTCAATATTTTACTACCATAAGCAACTGAAGAGTAAGTCCTGCTTTCAATGGAAATTCTGTAAAAAATGGCTTTGTCAGGAGATACTGCTGAGAAGGAAGGATAGGGTCCCAACTGCTGCAAGACTAAAGGAAAGCACCAATCCCCTTACCTGCTACACAGAGAGGCCCTGTGGAAGGATGATTCCTTCTCCCCTAGACCTTTTAGCAACACCCATCAGGGCTTTGACTCCCATTCTCAAGGGCCTCCACTTCCTCCCCAGCCCATGGACAATGTGTAGCACTGACCTGAGCAGATGACCCCAGCGTCCTCCTTGTGCCAGCAGTCATGCTGTCCTAAGACCCGGGAAGGGCACTTCCATAGTTGGGACTCTTTTCCTGTGCAGTTCACATCATCCAGCCAGATCTGGCCTGATCCTGCCCCAAAGTGAGCAGAAACCATGGCATCAAGGGCTTCCCCACAGCCCAGCTGTCTGCACACCACCTGAGCATCATTCAGGTCCCAGCTGTCATCACAGATGGTGCCCCAGGAGCCCTGGTGTAGGATCTCCACCCTTCCAGCACAGCGACTGCCCCCGTCCACCAGGCGGAGCTGTCTGCTATCTGAAGAGAGAGAATCAGGTCAATGGGACATTACTCAGGGAAAGAGAAGGGTTTTCTGGTCCTATGGGAGCTCTTACCTGAGCAGTTAGAGCAGTCCTCTGAGGGTGCAGAACCTGCTGGTTCAGATGTAGAGTTGCACTGGGGTAGCACCTGGGTCTTGTTACCTAGATAGAGAGTATGGTTGAAGAGCAGGAAATTTATTTTCTTTAAAAAATATATTTTATTGATTATTCTATTACAGTTGTCCAATTTTTTTCTGCCTTTTATTCCCCTCCACTCTCTATCCCCACTGCTACCATCATTCCCCCACCTTAATTCATGTCCATCAGACATACATGTAAGTTCTTTGGCTTCTCCATTTCCTATACTATTCTTAACCTTCCCTGTCTATTTTGTGCTTACCATTTATACTTCTTATTCCCTGTACCTTTCCCCCTATTATCCCTTTGCCCCCTCTCTGCTGGTAAACTTCCACCTCATCTCTATTTCTGTGATTCTGTTCCTGTTCTACTTGTTCCTTAAACACCTTACTTAGGTTGTTTTGCTTAGGTTGCAAAGGTTTTTTTTTCAGGCTGCTTGCTTAGGTTTTTTTTTTTTTTTTTTAGGTTTGGTTGTTGATAGTTGTGAGTTTCTGTCATTTTACTGTTCTTATTTTTATCTTCTTCCTTTTCTTAGATAAGTCCCTTTAACATTTCATATAATAAGCCCTTGGTGATGATGAACTCCTTCAACTTGACCTTATCTGGGAAGCACTTTATCTGCCCTTCCATTCTAAACGATAGCTTTGCTGGGTAGAGTCATCTTGGATGTAGGTCCTTGCCTTTCATGACTTTGAATACTTCTTTCCAGGCCCTTCTTGCCTGCAAGGTTTCTTTTGAGAAATCAGCTGATAGTCTTATGGGCACTCCTTTATAGGTAACTGTCTTCCTTCCTCTTGCTGCTTTTAAGATTCTCTCCTTCTCTTTAATCTTGGGGAATGTAATTATGACGTGCCTTGGTATACATTTCCTTGGGTCCAACTTCCTTGGCTCTGAGCTTCCTGGGCTTTCTGAAAGTCTATTTCCTTTGTCAGATTAAGGAAGTTCTCCTTCATTATGTTTTCAAATTAGTTTTCAACTTCTTGGTCTTCCTCTTCTCCTTCTGGAACCCCAATTATTCTGATGTTGGAACATTTAAAGTTGTCCTGGAGGTTCCTAAGCCTCTCCTCATTTTTTTGAATTCTTATTTCTTCATTGTGTTCTGGTTGAATGTTTCTTTCTTCCGTCTGCTCCAAACTGTTGATTTGAGTTCTGTTTTCCTTTCCAACACTGTTGGTTCCCTGTACATTTTCCTTTAGTTCACTTTTCATAACCTTCACTACATCCTCTATTTTGCTACCATACTCAACCATTTCTGTGAGTATCCTGATTACCAGGGTTTTGAACTCTGCATCTGATAAGTTGGCTATCTCTTCATCACTTAGCTGTATTTTTTTTCTAGCTTTTGTCTGTTCTTTCATTTGGACTATATATATATTTTTGTCTCAGTGCACCTCTTATGTAGTTAGGGGTGGAGCCTTAGGTATTTTCTGGGGCAGAGCAACTCAGGTCCCTGGGTTGTGGTGCTATATGTGGAGAAGTGGTTCCAGAGGGAACAGTGCCACTTACTTAGCTCTCAGCAGACTTTCAGTCACTTCCTCCACTAGTCACAAGCAAATTGGGCCCTTCTGGTGTTTATTTCAGGTAGCTGGTATTGTGTATGTTCTAGGACCCTCTTGGTCTCTCCAGTGAACTCTCCTATGAGTCTGGGAGTTTCTCCTGCTGCCTCAACCCCCACAGGTTTTTTAGTCAGAGGTTTTGAGGTTTTATTTCCCCACACTGGAATGCTGGGTTGTGTGGTCTGTCTCACACCGCAGTTATTCCTCCAGGTTTTTCAGCAAGCAAATGTGGGACTGCCCACTCTGCCAATTGCCACCAACCCACTCTGCCAGCTGCAGCCTTGCCATGAGTCCTTTCCACCCCAGCTGCCCATCTTCATCTCTCCTCCTGGTCTGGATGAATGTTTCTTCTTTAACTTCTTGGATGTTGGACTTCCATGCAGTTCAATTTTCTGGCATTTCTGGTTATTTTTTTGTTCTTAAATTAGTTGTTGCCCTTCTTTTAGTTGTGCAAGGAGGCACAATGTATCTACCTATGCCTCCATTTTGGCTGGAAGTTCTAAATTTCTTAATAACCTAGGGATAGGATTCTGAGATGAAAGCTGTGAGTTCAGAGTAATGTTATAATATTAGAGTTCACTTTCTTTAGTGGAGTGTTCTGCTTATGACTATGACAAAATTTCTTTTTTTAAGCCAAACAATGCATGAAAATGAATTTAGAAAAAACTAGAATATATTAGTACTCTTTGAAAGCATTGCACAAAATATCAACAAGTGTATTGTGGCATTGAACAATGCCCTAGATCAAATGGACTTATCTGATATATATATACAGAACATTTCATCCCAAAGAAGCAAAAATACACATTCTTTTCAAATGCACATGGAACATTTTCAAAGATAGGCCACACAACAGGAAACAAAACAAGTCTCAACTAATTGAAGAAAATTGAAATCATATAAAGCATTTTCTCTGACCACAAGTAACTGAAACTAGAAACCAACCTCAAGGAAAAAACTCAAAAACAATCAAATTCATCTATATGAATTTGAATGCCAAAACTCTTGGCACACAAAAGCCCTGAACTGGATGGTTTCACAGGAGAATTTCACAAAAACATCCATATAAGGGAGAGCTAACCCCTATCCTTCTTAGACTATTCAAAAAAAAATCCAAGAAGACAGAAGACTCCCAAACTCTTTTTATGAAGCCAGCATCGTCCTAGTACCAAAGAGGTTGAATAGCATACTATTAAACAACGAATGTGTTAAGAATGAGATCAAGGGAGAAATCAAAAAGTTTCTGGAAACAAATAAAATAAACTCACAACAGTCCAAAATCTATGGGACACAGTGAAGGCTGTCCTGAGATAGAAGTTCACAGTGATACAGGTCTACCTAAAAAAGATAGAAACATTAAAATAAAACACTTAATCCTGTATCTACAAGAACTTGAGGAACAATAACAAACAAAGCCCAGAGAAAGCAGAAAGAAGGAAACAACCAAAATAAGAGCAGAATTAAATGACGTAGAGACTAAAAGAACAATCCAAAGGATCGGTAAATCCAGGAGCTGGTTCTTTGAAAGGAGAAACAAAATTGACAAGCTTTTATCCAGATTCATCAAGAAAAAAGAGACAGGATCCTAAAATCAGAAATGAAAGAGGTGAAATTACAACTGATACCACAGAAATACAAAAAATTATAAAAAATTACTAAGAATGACCCAAGAAATTTCAAAATCAGGGTGATATAGACAAATTTATAGAGAAAATAATCTCCCAAAACTCAATGAAGAAGAAGGAGAAAGGTTGAATAGACCAATAACAGCTGGTGAAATTGAAACAGTAATAAAAAAACTCCTGGCACACAAAAGCCCTGGACTGGATGGTTTCACAAGAGAATTTTACAAAATGTATCAGGAAGAGCTAACCCCTATCTTTCTCAGACTATTCCAAAAAATCCAAGAAGATGGAAGACTCCCAAACTCTTTTTGTGAAGCCAGCATCATCCTAATATGAAAACCAGATAAAAACACAACAAACAAAGAAAACTACAGGCCAACATTGCTGATGAACATAAACCTTAAAGTCCTTGACAAAATATTGGCAAACCACATCCAGCAATACATTAAAAAGATTATAATCATGATCAAGTGGGATTCATCCCAGGGATGCAAGGATGGTACAATATTTGCAAATCAATAAATGTAATACATCACATAAACAAGAGGAAAGAGAAAAATCACATGATCATATCAATAGATTTGGAAAAAGCATTGGAGAAGTATAGCACCAATCAATAGTATAGCACCAGAAGTATAGCACCAGTTAATTCTTCCAATCCATATATGATTCATGGGTTGGAAGAATTAACATAATTTAAATGTCTATATTACCCAAAGCAATCTAAAGATTCAATGCGATCCCTGACAAAATACCAATGGAATATTTCACAGATATAGAACAAACGTTTCAAAAATTTATATGGAACCATAAATGACTCCAAATAGCTGCAGTGAGTTTGAGAAAGAAAAACAAAGTAGGAGAGATCACAACACCTGGTATCAAACTATATTACAAGGCCACTGTAATCAAAATAATCTGGTACTGGCATAAGAACAGTGGAACAGAATAAAAAGCATAGATATAAACCCATGCGTCTATGGTCAATTAATATTCAATGAAGGGGGAAGAAGCATAAAATGGAGTAAAAATAGCCTCTTCAACAAATGGTGTTGGGAGATCTGGACAAGTATATGCAAAAAAAAAAATGCTTGACCACCAACTTACACCATACTCAAAAATAAACTCAAGATGGATAAAATATTTAAATAGAAGTCATGACACTATAAAACTCCAAGAGGAAAACATAGGCAGGAAAATCTCAGACATTCCACGCAGCAATATTTTCACTGATATGTCCGCTAGAACAAGGGACACAAAGGAAAGAATAAACAAATGGGGCCTCATCAAATTAAAAAGCTTCTGCACTACTAAAGAAAACAGCATTAAAATGAAAAGAGAACCAACTATATGGGAAAACATATTTGCCAATGATACCTTGGACAAGGGTTTGATCTCCAAAATATATAAAGAACTCACAAGACTCCACTCCAAGAAGACAAAAAAAAATTAAAAAATGGGCAAAGACTTGAACAGACATTTTTCCAGGGAGAACATACTGAGGGCCCAGAGACATATGAAAGGATGCTCAGCAACACTAGTCATTAGAGAGATACAAATTAAAACCACAATGAGATACCACTTCACACTGATCAGAATGACCATCATAAACAAATCAACAAACAACAAGTGTTGGAGAGGATGTGGAGAAAAGGGAACCCTAGTGCACTGTTGGTGGGAATGCAGACTGGTGCAGCCACTGTGGAAAACAGTATGCAATTTCCTCAGAAAACTAAAAGTGGAACTGCCTTTTGACCTGGCAATTCCACTTCTGGAATTATATCCTAAGAACCCTGAAACACCAATCCAAAAGAACCTATGCATCCCAATGTTCATAGCAGCACAATTTACAATAGCCTAGTGCTAGAAGCAACCTAAGTGCCCATCAGTAAATGAATGTATCAAAAAACTATGCTGCATTTACACAAAGGAATACTATGCAACAGAAAGAAAGAAGGAGCTCCTACCCTTTGCGACAACATAGATAGAATTGGAGGGAATTATGCTTAGTGAAATAAGCAGGCAGTGAGGGACGAATACCATTTGATCTTGCCTTTAAGTGGACTCTAATCAACAAAACAAACTAACAAGCAAAATATAACCAGAGACATTGACATTAAGAACAAACTAACCAGAGGGGAGGTGGGAGGGAATAATAGGGGGCGGAGGTGGAGAGGGTTTTTAGG